TCAAGGCTCGTGGATAAGGTCTATGACCAAGCATCAGGACTCAACCCATCCAGCGAGAATGAAACCTCTGAGCTCTCCGAGAGATGGAGAACAAAAGTTTGAGAAGGTAAGTAGAAGAACTGACTCCGCGCTTGGCGCAAAAACTAGTATTGACACACTATGATTACGATAGTGAGTCAGAAGTTATTTTCGAGGACACATTCCCATGCCAACGCTCTGTGTCTAGAGCCTCATGGTAGGGAGAGAGATCTATTTCCTCATCACCTGGTGTATCTGGCTATGATGCGTGGATATTTCACATTTAGGGTCTCATCTTTACCGGACGCTTAAAAAGGAATATGTCAATCACATAAAGCTAATGTTGTGGCCTTGTCCATGCTCATATCCATGCTTCGTAGACAACAAGTCTAGAAACTCAAGGGCACCAAAGCTCCATATCTCCATTAACCCTCATGAAAGCTAACATGTGATATAACGAATCACAATGCCTCCAAACCCTACTTAGAGGACTCCAGTTAAGTGCTTGCACATACTACTCACCATGATAAAATGAGGAAAGTCCCTAGTGTCCTCAACCCCTTCAACAGTGGGCCCCATGTCGATGGAAGTAGCTTTCATTTCCTTATAAGAACTCCCATTGAACTTGTGGAAGAACAAAAGAAAACCCCATACTATCCCTAATGTTTGAAATCAAAATCATTATAGGCCCTAGGGCTCTGTCTTTTACTAGTGCAAAGTTTGACATTTACACCTCTTCCTTCATGAACCTATATTCCAGAATGAGTAATAACACCCATATCAAAGCTAAAAGCCTTTGGTTGTCGTCCATTCTTGGTCATCAGACCCGGACCCGGACCCAAACCCGAATTGATTATGAGAGACCTAGACCCAACCCGATCCTGACCCAAAAATCAATTCTTACATTAAAAAAGAGTATATTTAACTCAAAAAAAAAGAGAGAAGAGAGAGATTTGCATGGGAAATTGGGGTTTCATTGGGAAGAGAGGGAGAGAGAAAGGGGAATTGGGGGTTTTGTTGGGAAGAGAGAGAGAGAGCATGGGGAATTGGGGATTTGGTTGAGAAGAGATAGGGGATTTTGGGGAAGTGGGGGTCTCGTTGGGAAGAGAGAGCATTCTTTTGGGAACAAAGAGCATTCTTTTGGGAACAAAGAGCATTCTTTGGGAAGTGAGGATTTTGTTGTGAAGAGAGAGAGATTTGGGAAGTGGGGTTTTTATTGGGAAGAGAGAGTGAGCACTTTATTGGGGAAGTGGGGGTTTCGTTGGGGGTTGGGGCTTTAATATTAATTAACATTTAATTAATATTTAAAGAATATGTAACTACAAAAATAATATTTTAATTTATTTAATAATAAATTCAAGTCGAGTCTACATGGACTCAGACCTGTACCCAAATAGTATTCAGGTCCAAATGATCCAACCCACTAGGTCCAAATTTTGAACCCATATCCGGACCCGATCCATTGCCACCCTTGCATGAACTACAAAATAAACATTTAGAACCTAAAAGAAATATTAAATTAGAAACTCGAATCCAAAAATATCGAAATCTCGATTCCATAATGAAAGAATCTCAATTCCATATGGGTCGATTCCAAATACGTCAGAAACTCGATTCCAAAGACAGAATCTCGATTCTATATATGTAAGAACCTTGATTCCATTTGGGATGAATCTCGAGTCCTATAGAGTAGGAATTCTCGTTTCCCGCAATTTTCCTTGTATGGACATTAGATTCTGACAGCATGAATCTTCAGCGCGTGCCGTGATTCGAATTCCTAAAACGATTCAAAATCTCAAGCATTTCCAACAACTATGCTCCTGCCACTCAAAATTGCCAAAGGTAACCAGATTGCACTCTTCAACTTACCTTAACCCACTGAAGTCGTACTTGTCAAACATCACCATGCCCATTGGCTTCCACACTTTCTAGCACTCAACATAAAATGTTTAGGTCGCGTTATCAAAATAGAACATTTTTTACTATATATAAAGGACTAGCAAGTGGCCTAAAAAAGAGCATCATCAACATTAGGTCACTTCTCTATATGGGGCTTACAATCTCTGGAGGGGAAGGTGTGATACAAGCACATTAATAGGGGGTGATTCTTGACAATCAAAGAACGTAATTTGGGCTCCATCCATGATGTCTAACGAATTCCAAGAGCTGCCTCATAGCTGTTGCTACTTTTTACATTTGCCTTTGTTTTCAAAGAGAAACAAAATAACATTCAAATTCACATGTTACACATCATAAATCTCTCTCCTATCACTTGGAATTCATTGTATGATGCCCTGCCACTCAAGATTAACCCATTAAGTACTCTCGTATTAGAATCCTATACTCCACTATTAATCACTCCTGCCACCCTCAATCATCTTTAGTAGCATTTCCAATGTAAAATTCATCCTTTCGATTACAAAACCGTATGTCAGAACAGACCTAATGCGCAAAGTTTCTATGAATGCACAAGTTTCCATGCACATATACCAGATTTCCTTACCGGCACCCACTGCTCTTTAACCTCCACGACATCCCCACAAACTTCACCCTTTGTTCTGGAAGGTCTAATTCCTACCCAAAAAGAATGAGCACTGGATCATAACAACTATCATGTCAAATACAAATTCCATTTTCTAATGGCTAGCATTATGCCTTCCATTCTTGTAACTCCTTAAAGAATAATAAGTTTCATGTACAAAAGGTAGTTGTCGCACATAGAATTAGATCTGGGTGGGCTAAGTGGGGATGTGCATTTCGAGTTTCATGTAATTGTCGCATACCAATGAAGCTAAAGGGGAAGTTCTATAGGATAGTTGTGAGACCAAATTTACTTTATGGGGACGGAATGTTAGGCGGTCAAGAAACAACACACCCATAGGATGAGTGTAGCTGATATAAAGATGTTGAGATGGACCAATGGCAAGATAAGGAAGGATGGAATTCGAAATGAATACATTCGAGGGAACTTAAGTATGGCTTCAATAGGCAATAAGATGACGAAAAACAGACTTAAGTGGCCCCCACAGTATAGACCCACTACAACACTGGTTAGGAAGTGCGATTTGGTTCAAGTGGAAGGCTCTAAAAGGGCAACAGGAAGGCCTAAAAGGACATGGATGAAAGTAGTGAGAAAAGATATGGGGACTTATAGTCTTACTGAGGGTATGACCCTTGATAGAGTAGAATGGCAGAACATGATACATGTAGCCGACCCCAAATAGTTGGGATAAGGCTGCGATGATGATGATGCACAAAGGGTAGTTGGAGTAGCATATCAACATCATTCAATTGACATCTAGTTCATCTAAAACTATAGTTTCCTTTTCTTTACAAGAACACAAATGGTCTTCCATTGTTTCCCAGCCTTTTCAGCCAAGAGTTTGAACCAAGTGTTTTAATCCTAAATGTGGAGAGCTTGCTTGAGGGCTAGTAATCCCCACATGGAATCTCGTCCCAATGATCCAGAAGATGGAGCTCAAATAGAGCTCACTCCCTCCCCCCCTCCCCCCAAACCAAAAAAAGAAAAAAAACACAATTAAGGGATCTCGAACCCTTACTAAAAGGGATTTGGATCCTTGTGTGTGTGTGTGTGTGGGGGGGTCACAATCTCAAATGGCGTTTCAATATTATTTGATTTTGAACCTGGAGTCTTTGATGTTGTTTTGATCTCTTTATTTCTGGTAATTCTCTAGCTAACGACCACCTGACGATGAATTTTGTTTGCTGTTTTCATAGCTATGGTTTGCATTAGTGGTAGCAAGCGGACTTGGATCACATGAGTCAACTCAGAAACAGTCCCTGGTACCGAACGGTTCCGAACCAGGGAATTGCAATGGTTTTCCAAACAGGGAAGTTCATTATAGTGAAAAGCCCAATTCACTATAGGGACTTAAGTAATTCCTTACTTCAGTTTTTTTTCATGACCCCAAAATTTCATCTCTCAAAATTTTATGGTGTTTTCAGGATATAGAGTTCTCATTATGTAATTGTACAGATAATGCTAAAACAATTTATTACATTTTTAATTATAAAAATATCACTTTTAAAAAAAACCCACACACACATATATTTAAGATAAAGGTGCTCCCCAAGTTCTCCCATATACATATAATACATATATCGGGCTGCTTTTAGGCCTATCCTTGAACAATGCTTCCAAGGTAGGGAGCTTCATGCATGGGTCAATCCCAGACCCATGCTCCAATTCCCGCTTTCGCTCCCAACAAATATGGTTTCAACCAAAAGTTTTGGAGCCTAAACCTCTGACCATTTGTCAATTGTGGAGCCCAGGAACTAGTTGCTATATTTGATGTGTTGATTGAGGATCTATCCACTGTAGAACCCTAAGACAAGGTTCTATGAGTATGTTTATATAGAAACTGTTACCATAGGAGATAATAACAACCAAAGTTGAAAGAAAGAACATTACTCTATGCAATTTCTTCATTCTAGTTTTATTATTTTGGTGTTATAATTCCTTCAATCAGTTTCATCCCATAGATCATTTTCTTAACTTTAAAAATTAATACTCATATTATAGTACAATAATATTGGCATGTTCGACATCTCAAGAAATGCTAGGGCAGGCACCCCAACAAAGTACCTGGATGGATCCATGTCCATGAAAGTAAGCCAATGCCAACCTGCCCTTTCTCTTCCCATTCCAGAAACCTCTCTTTCCATCTTTAGAAACAAGTATTCAAAGGGAAGTGTGAGTATTTCAAAAGTAGAATAAAGTGAGGGATGCAACTCTACGAGTCTCATTTCTCTGTCTCATATTTTCCTTTTAGTTCTTATACACTTCAATTAAAGCGATTCAATTCCAGACACTACCTATAAGACACAAACACATCATATTGCTTACTACTAACCAATAAAGTCCAACACATCAATGCCATGAAAGAGATCTTTCACAGATTATGTTGCATAGAGTAGCCACAAGTATATCAATTGCTTTCATGATAGACACTAAATTATACCTGGGTACCAGATTCTGTAGGCTTTGATGAAGACGGGGTTTCTGTTGCAATTTTGCTCCAATTCTGACTCTCCTTCTCTGCTTCTGCTAGTATTTTTCTTTCAAACTCAAAGTCAAACAGGAATGAGCACCGTGGAATTTCAGCCATTTGTGGCGAGAGTTGAGGCTAAGAATTAACAATAAAATACATGGAATAACATCAGAACAGCATATTATGTCTTGCTCTGAGAGGTAACAACATAAAAAATTGTCATATTACACATAAATTAAACATTATTCAAAGTAAAGCAGCTCTCAACTCCTCAGTTATGAAGAAATATTGATCACTTGCATAAGCAAAATGCTTTTAGTAAAGAGAGCAGTTATTAATCTAGATTACATTGAATGCAACAGGAAAACGCAGAAGAACTTAAAATCAGGTTACAAGGTGCGGGTGACTGCGTTATGACATCTTCAACTAATAAAGTATGTGAAAGCTAGTCAATTTAAATCCTACGTCCATGTAAGACAAAATTCATGATTCCAAGCAGAAATAACCAAACATTTGGTTCAATAGGAAAGAACTTAAGGCAGAAAACTGAAACCAACTGGAAAAAAACTCAGTTTGTTTTAGGACTGGTAATTCATCAGGTCAAAGAAATGAAAGGAAAATTTGTTATTTGTCTCCAGAAAAGGCTGAAAAATTAAAAATTTTATAATTCATTTCAGCTAAAATAGAGAAACAAACACATTAATACAAAAAGAAATTTAAAAAAATACGGATTACGTTCTAGAATGAAAAGTTCTTGACAAGAATATTACTACTTCAATAAAAATATGTGAAATGGACATCGTCCCATGGATGGAATGCTTGATACCCATGCCACATTAAAGAGTTGAGACATAATCTCATAATTCACAATCAGAAGTTAATTTGAACTTATTCATCCAACAAAAAGAAAAAAATACAAGTTAAATTGGACTTGCTAGTTGAAAGCTTGAAATTATTTGCAATACTAAATCATGCCATACCATATCATTTTATCTATTAAAAGAAAATCTAATTATAATGTTACCTGCACATTTCCTCTAGTTTTTTCAATCATAGATGAATCATGGCATTTCAAATGGGCAAAGCATACCCATTGCATCAGGCATTGCAAGCAACAAACCCAATCAATCCCCCTAATTCATGTTTAGGCAGTGTATTTAATGGGCAAATTAATTGAGTGTGACTCACTCATGGTGAGTAGCAAAACTAGCCACCAAATTTTTTCTGGTTGCCACACTGATAATATTTCTATCCAAATGTCCTAATCTTTATTTAAAAATAGTGTCCCCGTATGCTCCCCATTAAGTTGGTCAAACTGCAACTGTGTCAAGTGTAGCACAAGTCAAAAGTGAGTTATTGAGAGCAATGCATCGACAGAAGGTAGGGAGACATGCAAACAGGGGTTCCGCCTCTTGGCTGGTGACCAGGACATAAGCATTGCTCTCCCAGTTAAACCCAGGGAACATGTTGAGGACAAAATGACTTTGTTGCAGTATTTTGAATGAGTAATATTCCATGAAACAAATACACTGTAGAAACTGTGAATTTTACTTGGTTGTTGCCTAACTGAGCTGAGATTTATACAATTTATGCATACAAAAGGAAAATGAGAGAGCAGCAAGCCAGACGAAGGGGAAACCAAGATGCTACAGTGGTGGACGAAGTGGTCCTCATAGGTGCAAGGAGAACCTGAAACCCTTCCTTAAGGAGGAACCTTGCCGAAGAGGAGGTCACCCAATTCCAACTTCTTCATTCTGGCTTTCACTCTCACTTTATTTCCATTCTAGGAAGAGATGTTATAGTTTGGACCCCAACTCCCTCGGGTGAGTTTTCAGTGGCCTCTTTCTATAAATTATTATCTAACCCCCTACCTTCCAGGCCAACCCCACTGCTATTGCATCAAAAGTGTGGGCTACTCTCGCCCCACCTAAGGTCCAAACGTTTAACTGGCTAGCTTGCTCTCATAAAGCCCTCACTATAGATCATCTTCAGAAACGAGGGGTTCCTCTTCCCAACAGATGCGCGCGCCCTATGCGAAAACGATGAGGAATCTAACTCACCTTTTCCTTCACTGTAGTGAAGGACTTCTCTTTTGAACTTTGGGGTAAGATTTTACAATTATTCGGCATCGAATGGGTCACGCCTCCTACGGTAAAGTCCCTCATCTCCTATGAGCTTCATACCCCGTGGCCGAAGGCTGGCAGAGCCCTTTGGAAGACCACCTTAGCGGCTACCATGTGGATTATTTGGCTGGAAAGGAATAATCGTATTTTTCGAAGCTCGAAATTACAAACTTCAGCCCTCCTGCACAAGCCTTTATCTTTGGTTTCTTTCTGGGCAGCGAACCACAAATTGTTCTCGAGGATTCCAAGGACCCAGTTCCTTCCCCAATGGCAAAATATCCTATTCCACTACCCAAGACAACCACAGAGATCCAGCTTTTGGCAGCCACCCCCAGAAGGAACCATCAAGTTTAATTTGATGGGTGCTCCTTTGGGAACCCAGGTCCGGCAAGGGCCGGGGGGTTCTTAAGAGACTACCAAGGCAATGTTATCTTTTCGTTCTCAAAGCACCTTGGCCCCATGGAAGCTCAAATCGTAGAAGCCTTGACTCTCCTTCTAGGCATGAAAAAGTTTAACCGATCTTGGGGACTACACCTCATTGTAAAAGGAGACTCAAAAAAGGTTATCACATGGGCTAGTAGCACGTCTCCCCCACCTTGGTATCTTGTGACTGCATTTGAGGAAATTGAACATCTTTGTAGGGATATGGACGTCTTATGGCGGCATACGTGGAGGACGTCCAACGAATTCGCGGATCATCTGGCGAAAGAGGGAGCTAGTCGGCAACTTCACGAACAAGCTGGGGTCGTCTCCTTTTTTGCACAGGACGTCCGGCTCAGCATGCCTCTATAGCTCCTCACATGCTTTCTTTAGCCCCCCCCCCCCATTTTTTGGATTTTTTGTAAGCTTCATGTAAACTTCACTTAGGGCGGTCTTATAAGCCCATTTTGTACATGATACTTTCCAGTTCACCCCCTAGGGGGTGAACTTCGCCCCCTCTCTCTTGTACACTTCTCTCTCAGTAATACAATGTTAACTTTCATAAAAAAAAGATGAAGGGGAAAGAAGGTAAACATCCCTAACTGAAACATGGGGAATATGCATTAGAAACTTATGTCAGTCCAAAGAACATATCTAGCAAGAAATGACGTGCAACAATCGAAGGGCCTGAAAGACCAGTGGAAGCCTAAGACTTTAATGGAAGAAGCTTCAATAGAAAGAGAACCAAAGATTTATAATGGATATCATATGGCATGTTTCAATGTCCAGAGTGAAAGGTAATTATATCATTTGAGTTATTTGAGAACTAAGACCACCCTGACAAACTAGAAAACATCTAGCATCTGCAGTTTTTTCCTACAATACCCTAAGCATCCACATGGATTGCAGCAAAGAGGCACATGCTTAACCCCAAAAGGCTTAATGAAAATTAAACCCAACAACAAGATGCAAGGCCACAATTGGATCATCGGGAATAAGATTGAAGGCAACTTCACTAGCGAGGAATTTATCCAATGCAAGCGTAACGCCACTGAAATATTCCCAGTCCAGAAAAGAGAATCTTCTCAAAGTTCATGTTGAATTGAGCCAAGTTTTGCTTCCATACTAATGCAGTAACGCGTGACACGTAAAGAGAGGTCCTATTGATAATTTTCTTCATCCTTAAAGGATGTACGTCATTCTACCTAGCAGAACATTGTAAGTTTCTCTTCCTAATAAACCACTTCAAATTTTCTACATGTTCATCTCTACAGACACCAACAGGTGTTTGCTTTCCAACTGCTGCTACATTCAACTTCCCTAGAAAAGAAAAAATATGCATCCTATATCTCACCTAAAAAGGATAAATATGCATCCTCAGATCCCAGCAATTAAGCCCCTTGATATTCAGAGTCCAAGTTGACATCTATTCCAGATAAAGGCCAACAGAGTGCTGCACTAGATCTCCATGTAAAAATTCCCATTCTTCAGATTAGTAATAGTTAATAGATGATAGGAATATAATCAATCCTTCACCCTGCTCCGTCTTTACCAAACCCTTATTTCCCTTTCTGTAAGACCTTGTCCAATATTTGGATCCCCCTCAAATGACTCCAGCCACCCAGCCTACCTTTACCTATAAGAGCAGGGAAAAAAAAAGGCCCATGGCCTTCATATTCTCCTCCATTTTCCTCCGGTGATGCCCTATCATCCTAAGTTCCTCATATATGAATGTAATGATGGCAAAATAATTCTTCCTTCAACACATCCACCCATTATCCCTCCACAGGAAGCCTAAGGTAAATTTCATACCTGCCCATTATCCCTCCACAGGAAGCCTAAGGTAAATTTCATACCTGCCCATTATCCCTCCACAGTAAGCCTAAGGTAAATTTCATACCTGCCCATTATCCCTCGCCTAAGGTAAATTTCATACCTGCATGATCATAGTTCATTGATCACATTTTCCATCCTACTCAGAGAAGTTTTGGTTCCATCAAACTCCAACCTGAAACTTCTACTCTCAGTTCCCACTTTACATTCTCATGCATGTCATCAATTATTTTACCAACAACTGAAACTGAATATGGACTATCTTTTCCTCTGCCCTGTTCCATAGTTACGTGTTTTATGTTTTATGTTTACCGTCAAACTACAACCTTGTTAGCATGCTCTCATATCCATTACAGGGATGTAGTTGTTGGGATCGCGAGCAGAATCGGGACCAGGAGAGGGAGATTGTGAAAGGCTAGAAGGTCCCCATGGGTGGGAATGACGTACATACAATACATATGTTAGGGATCTCGACCCTGACCTTCTGGGATCTAATCCCAACCTTTTTTGGAATCTTGCTACCAAACTTCAAGAATATATGTAGGTCTAGGTCTATATACACTCTTTAAAGTAGGGATTTCTTTATTTATAGCCAGCAAGCATCACAACTGTATTAAAAAAATAGTTACGTTGCTAGTGGGCTATAAATAAAGAAAACCATCAGTTTGATCATTATCTTGGCCTTTAAAGTGTGGATAGAGACCCCTAACAATGGGGATCAAGATCAGTAACACTGGGGATCGAGCTCCCAAACCTTAGAACTTAAAATCATTAGAGATCCATTTCTAAGAGGGTCAAAGTGGGATGGCCACCTAGGTTGGGAGACCCCAGTAACTATCCCCTAGGCCTCTGTTAGAGCCTAGCTTTGTGATTACCCAACATGGGCATCTACTTTTTCACCAATTCCTTTAGATTCACTAGCATCAATAGATCCAGCTCCAGTTTTCGCTCAGAATCTCAACAAATCTCTCCCAAGACATCCTGACACTTGCACCACCCTCTATCAACAAAGCCCAACATTCTCTACTATTCAATAGAGAGAATAATCATTTCTTCCTCTAAAAGAATTGTACTCGCTAATTTCCCTCAAGTCTTTCTACAAAACAATGGCATCTGGGCCATCTGAGTAGATCACCCTCGTCCCCATGTTGGTGTCAAATATCTTAACTTGATAGTGGCTTCCTGATTAGGAAGCAACTCCACACCTATCAAGTTGATATATTTCCTAATTTAAGTCCCTGACTCATCCCATGATTTTATCTCATCCTTCCTGATATGGTCAATGCATGTTCTTACATCCTGGAATGCAAAACGGCCATCATGCTCGTAATACAAAAGGTTATTGCATGCAGAATCCTCCTGATCTTCACTACTTTTGACACTTGAACTCCATAACTATTCAATCTGTGATCCATGCTCCAATCCCAGCCTTCCTGAAAATATATTCACCCATCCTTAAATTTTGATCCCTAGCCCAACTCTATGTAATAAATCAATGTCATATGAACTGCTCCATGTATCACATGTTGCTTGTGTGCTATCATACAACCTCAAGTGCTTAACAGCCATCAATCCCATATCACCCATTTAAGAGTTCCTTAACATCGTTAGCACCTCTACAAGCATTTCTGCGGTCAATTCTCAGACGCTCTTCAAGGGCTAATTAGCCCTTTTAAATCTCATAATATCCAACCCACCCGCATTCAGGCCTCTCTATACCTCAAACCTCTTGATGGCTCCTGGTGTTTCCTTCCATCTCACGCCAGCTCTCATATCTAACTGCCCAATCTTCCTCCTTCCTAAACCAATTGACACCTGGTTGACCGGCAGCCAGGATTTCCCCCCTCAAGAGGCTAAAAAGAATTCCCAGACCCCAGCACTCCGTTATCCATCACTGTGCATGCCTTAAGAGAAGTGGCAAGGAAAGGCCAAGCCCTGCCTTACACCCCTACGAGTGATTCGATACGACACTTCAACAGTAATTGAACCTGAGTTTAGCCAACACTTGCAATGCCCAATCCCTACCCTTCTCCAACTTATGCAGTATGGAGCCTGCAAATAACCAAAAGTCAGGTTCCTGCCAACTTATGGTTGTTGCAACTGGAGCTTTCTGTTCTCCATCTCTCCATTGATGATGGTCTTACTAGCAACAGCTCTTGCTGCCTGGTTTTTAACATACCTGGCTTTACACTCTCCACAGCCAAGGGGTTATTCCAAGACGTTCTCCAAATTTTTCGACATCTGATCCATTCAACTGTGCTCTTCTCCATTTCTCTTTAACTATGGTAAAACAGTTACCATCACCCCTTGACACACCAACCAAGCATAAAGACAATCACTACTCTTCATGTTGCCCCTCTCAAGTTTGGGAAATTCTTCCTAAATGGCTCCCCCAATGCCTGGTCAACTTCCAATTGTGCCGCCATGTACTTTGTGAATGCTAAGAGAGTCTCCCTAATTACCTGCCTCCAAGGATTTACCAATGTTGACCCATAAGAAAGTTTGGCGTTGGGAGGAAAAACAATTCGAAAAAGCTAAAAATATGAACATCTCATAATAGTAGAATGGAATTTGCTACCCAATGAGATATCTAATCATTCTATATGAAAATGAACCGTTGAATCAAGCAACAAAGCATCCTTCCAGCAAACACAGATGAATTGGAAGACAAACTATTATTGGAGCCCTAAGAAATTTGCAAATGAAAAACAAAAGAATAATCAACCATCTATACTTTCGAAAGTAAATTACCAAAAGATATTTGCAAAGAAATTACATTACTTTATACTGTTAAGCTAAAAAAACAATTAGATCTACACTAAGCACTAGCATCTTATTACCCAAATCTTCTAGTTCAATTTATTCCAAGTTTTCCCAAAAATCGCCAGGTGGCCCCTTTCAGGCCGCCCTAAGCGGCCCAGTATGAAGAACAAAGTCAATCAATCCAAAGTCAAGCCAAATTTGGATCAACATAATAAAAAACTTTGAATTCACCATTGAATCTAGCACAACGTATCATTTTCAGTAAAAACGCGTTTTGAGGGTGAATTAGAGGCGCTAGGGTGGCTGTTCTTTGTTTCCATTAATACCAATAGTTCCCTGATATTCAAGGCTTCATCCACTACTACTGCCTAAAATCAAAGAAAACGGAACACCAAGTATGCAACTTACAGGAGGGGTTATGCGGTATGCTGGCTTTATGGCAACCCTGATACCCAGACTTGCTGCAAATTCATTACATACGCCAATTATCAATTAAAATCATCAAATCCAATAAATTACGTACCCAGACTCTACTGGTACTTAATCACCCAAAATAAAATCAGAAAACTAAAGAAAGGAGAAAAAAAAAATTCAAACGAGAGAAAGAGAGAGATCGATTTACATGAGGGCGAAGATGAGGTAGTCGGAACAGGAGGCGGGCGGCTAACAGGAGGTCCGGAGGTATGGGCGATCCTATTGGGAGCGGGGTAATAGGAAGGGGAGCCATGGGCACCATAGCTTGAAGGGGGCCTGTACATGGGTATGGCAGAAGAAGAATCATAAGGAGATGCGCCCTTCCGGAAATCGTAGTCCATCGCCAGATGCCTGCACACAGATTTATAAATAAAGACGCGTTGTCCTTCGGCTTAATGAGATGCTCTGCTTTTCTAAAACCTCTTCCTGACTCAGAGAAGGATAGAATGATGCCGAGCTTAGTATTGATCTCGAAAATTTAAAAAGGACATTGACAACAAATTAATATCCTTACAAGAGAATAGTACGATGTACGGCAGTCCTCGTGTAAGAGGAAGCAGGGGATCCTTTTTGGGTCCAGGACACCTTCCTCCCACGGGTGTAGATACACAGCTATGGGTCTTAAAAATTGAACTCAATGGGTTAGGTCCGGGTTCAGACCTCAATATTATTTGGGCTACATTAATATTTAAATACGGGAAAAGTGTATATAGAGCCTAGGCTCTAAACAATCAAATTTGAACCTACCTCAAAAATTTCACTTGAAGATGTTGCTTTGATGCTCAAATATTCTCAAATTGATCAGCTCAACATCACAATGCATGGAAATGATTAAAACATGGATTTCAAGTTTTTGAAATAGTGTATTTTGTAATACATTTTTGGATCTTTAATTTTCAAGATTTTCATAGATCTATTGATCTATACTATTTTTGAAGCTTTGTACTTTATAAATAAAGATGAACATATATTTTAAGGCTATCACAATGATTTTCAATATTGAAACTACATTTCTCGACACTATTTGAAAGTAGGCTCTAATTTGATTGTTTAGAGCCTCAACTCTATACAAATCGCACCTTTTAAATAATATTTTATATATGTAATATTTAAATATATAATTATATATCTTTATATTTTTTTTATTTTTTGGGTCGGTTCTGAGGCCAGGTCCCAATCCCATAAATTTTTTCGAGCATATAGGTGTATCCTACGAATTTTTCTGTCCCCCAATACAGTATCCCACAAACTTGAAAATATTTTTTCTCAATCTCGTCATGATTGGTACCTTTGTTACTCTTGCCTTATACTGTTGACTAATTTTGTCACAATTAATACAATTTTTTTTTTTTTGTATTACTATTTGTTTTGTATTGTTGAAGTGGACTTTTTTTTTTGGTAAATATGGTTGAAGTTGTTTATTTTATATTTGTATTAATATTTAGTGTTTTGGGTAGTTTATTGAACAATCCATTTATTTAGTAGTACATTATGTTGATATATAGTAGTACACTATATTGTATTTGTTGTGTTAAGTAAATATTGTTCAACTTGTTAGTTTGTATTAACATTTGTTGTTTATTGTTTATTTGTTGTTTATTTTGTGTTTGTATTAATATTTGCTGTTTTTCGTTGTTTATTGAATAATTGACTTTTTTAGTAGTACACTATTTTGATATATTATGTAAAACTCACATTTTATGAACATTTAATTAGTTAGATATATCTTAATTTTTTTGTATTCCTTATTGTATTGATTTTCTGTAACATGAATTTTGGTATTTATTTAATACAATAGCATTGACGATGGTTATTGAGGGAGTGACTTTGGTATTTCGATATGGGGGATTGAGACGAATCCAGATGACATACGTGTTGTTTATAAAGTGAGAAAATTGAAGGTTACGAAGTATAATGGACATAGTTCATTAGAGGAATTAAAAAGTCATTTTGGGAATTTGAAAATCGTGTGATCCAAACAAATTGACTATTATGTGCCGCAACACAAGTCTATCTTGGTGTTATTGAATTGATTGATGTAAGTGATGATATAAATATTTCTATGTTGGGAGGGGAGTCTTCATTATTGTATGCATTGCCTCTGCAATAAAGTTGAAGCGTAGATCTATGAAATTTGGAACGACAGAACCTGTTGGTGATGGCCCATCTGAAAGGAATAGGTACATCTACAATTTATATTTGCATCTCTAATTTGCTTTATTTTAATCTTTTATGTGCACAAATTATTGTTTCATTTTACACTCTATTTTTTGTCAATAGTCGGCGTAATGTTCCTTTACTTAATCAAGATGAGAATATTCAAGTAGTGCTCGAGCCTTAACTTATACCAGAGCGTGATATGGAGGATATTGAACCGATTGAGAGGCCATGAAGAGGAGTGATAACGAAATTCAACTGAAAACGGGCCAATTTTTTGATAATATCAATGAATGTCAGCATCATCTGATTGATTTCGTCTTCCATAATAATTTTATTTTGAAGTTTGACAAAAGCGAAGGGGGGCGGGTGTGGGCAAGTTGTAAGTCAAAGGGATGCACATGGCAAGTGCAATGCTTATGAGTTGGCAGTACGGCATGCTTCAAAGTGAAGTCCATGGTTAAGGAGCGCATATATAGTTTGCCCAATGGGGAGGGTCAATCAGTCGTTAACTCGTAGTGATTGGGTGACAAAAAGGATTAAAGCCCATGTTCTTAACCAATCAAAATTTTTAAAAAAAACATTATAAAGGATATCCAATGCGATCACGATGTCAAGCTTTTGTTGGGTTTATGTGGCCTTTAAAGGTCGTATGAGTGCTTGTAAAATGAAATGATATAATGGAACATGAACTCAGTGGGAGTGTGGTCCCTCGTGGACCATAATAAGCAAACGATGGTTTGCTGATACCGATCTGTGCTTAACGATCTAGGCCAGTCGATTGAGAAAAACTCATGTTACCTAGGCATGAAGAATAACCGATGAGGGTTTATGGGTTAGCCCTTGATGAGGTCGGAGAATATGCCCAGATGAGTGAAGGTTTTTGCATACTGTGAAACCAACAGGTATTGAATTACATATTGCATGAGACTTGATATGCTACTTTATGATATATGCATAAGAATATTGAGAATGTATATGTTGTATGTGCAATAATTGAGTGGGAGCTGCTACAGTCCCACATTTTCTTAGCTGCTTGGATATTCATATATACAGGTGCAAGCTATCTCACAGATCCAGATGATGCAAAGTCTACATCTAGATATGTGTTCATGCTTGGAGGGGGTACAATTTCTTTAAAATCAAAGAAACAGGATGTGACGAAATTGTCCACCATGAAGGTAGAGTACGTGACATGCTGATTGGTGATCGAGGAGGCCGTATGGATTAAGAAATTTCTTAATCGACTAGACTTTCACCTCGTGCATTGTGAGGCAGTAAAAATTTTCTGCGAAAGCATAGTGGCGATATGCATGTCAAAGGAGCCACGATTTCATAAAAACTCCAACCATATAAAACCATGTTTCTATCACTTGAGGAATGAGGTGAGATTGAGAAAGATCGAGATGCATATAAATTAAATATTCCAGTGGGAGTACCTGCTTGTATTTGACATGCCAAATGGCATAACAGACTATAATGTTGTTCACCCATAGAACCCAAATGTTTGGTGCTAGTTGTATGGCTACAAAAGGGAGCAACTTATTTGAAGAACTCTTTTGAGCCTATAAATATACGACCCCATGTGATGAGGGTACGTGATGGTCTTTTACGACAACATGTCCATGATTCACGATGCGTTGTGAAAGATGAGCTATGACTATTTTTTGGATGAGATCCGAGTAGCAAAGAGCAAAATATGTTGCCTCTAGAAATCTTTTTGTGAAAGGATTGATGACGAAAGCCATGATTAATGTATTGAGAGAATAAGTAAAAATGCTGGAGAGAGAGATGGGAATGAGAGAAAGTGAGAAAGGGATAATGTAAGGCCTTCAAAGGCCAAGTGGGAGATGTTAGGTTTATGTAGCCTATAAGGCCTTATAAGTGCTTGTAAAATGAAATGATATAGTGAAACATGAACTCAGTAGGAGTGTAGTCCCTCGTGGACCATACTAAGCAAACGAGGATTTGTTGATACCGATATGTGCTTAACGATCTAGGCCAGTCGGTTGGGAACAACCCATGTTACCTAGGCATGAAGAGAAAATCGATGGGTTTATGGGTTAGCCCTTGATGAGGTCGAAGAACATGCCCGGATGAGTGAGCCGACGGACTGTGTGACCCTTGTGTGTGATGGTGGCCTATAGAGACGAGGGCCAAAGCCTCATCCATGTGCCATCACACGGCATACATATTGATAGATCGTTCGGAAAAGCCAAATATCCACCTTTAGGTGAAGCGTATGCATGTGCGAGCGTCATAGAGGTGTGGTTACATCAGGTCGTGGTGACTTTCACTCGTCTCTAGGGGAGGACCTGTAATCCACAGACTGGGATTGCGATCCTTTGATTCATCATTCTGAATTTGGTGACCTATTAATGAGCCCCTGCTCGGACTGTGGGTCATGTGAAACATTGGGTCGGTTCGATAAAGCTAGTGTGGTCTGTAGTCCATAGTTGAAGGTGGAGTACCCCGTTATTGTAGATTGGATTCCTAAAACCAT